GCTAGTTCCTTTTTTGGATCACGTTAACTAAGAGGTCTCACCTTGGTCTGTAACCTGTACACTATATCTGTAAACCTGTAAACTGATGTGAAGCTGCGTAGTTGAACGAGTGAGCCACCTTGGTCACAGAATTTCACACTCGTATCCCGGATATAGGGTGGGCGTGGCCGCGTATTTCGTTCGAACATGGCGCGAAATGCATTTTTGATAGTTTATTTCCGTTCGAGATACCTCGTTTTGCGTACTGCACAAGTGACATGATTGTCTCAAACTAAAAATCCCACCAGAAGTGCAGTCACAACGTTCATCTGGAATGCGCAGCGACGCCCTCTCTTATTCTTGGATATGGGGTTCAGGTTTTCAAAAGGTGGGCAGTAAAAGCTCAGTCGAGTACGCCTTCTCCAAACCGAACTGCACCTTGGTGTGATTTTTTTGGAAAAGGAATGTGTCTAGGGGCTGAGGAAGTCGGGGCGCCTGGACAGATTAGCTCCCATCCGAGCAGATGTAGTGGGGGAGGGGGGGGGGTGCCATCTACAGTAGGCAACCATGCCATCCTGTTTGTCCTGTTTGTGCTCTCTCACCGAAGGTGGCCTGTTTATCCCCTGTTTTGTCTTATTCTGAGCCTCTGAAAAGACGTGCCAAGAATGGCTCGGCTTAGTCGCCCAACGACTGGCATCCCGAACTACACTTGCTAATTCCTGCCAACACCCCCCCCCTCCCCACCATTATCATTATGATAGCGTCCGCAAGGACATGAAGTGGAAGCGTGGACGGGACGCCCGCGGACGCGAAGAGGTCCAAGCTTATCGCACTTTTATATCAACATTTACAGCTCTAGGTCGTGGACTGGGCGGTCCAGCGGGATTCTACCTGTCTAAAGTGATTTTTAAGAGGCCTCTCAAAGGCAGTCAAGCTCAGGGGGACACTCGCCCGTCTCCGTATCCCCTCTCCTAATTTAGGGTTAGAGTTCGTGTGGACCATGTCTTCTTTGCAGGGCGACCCCTCGACGAATTCGGTCGCCTACGGACTAAGCCGAAGTCCTTTTGGGGAACGGGAACGGATGCGCGGCCAATGCCCCCCCCCAACTACAACTCAATTACGTTGGAGCGTTTTTCCATACTTATACTCCTTTACGAATCTGCTGTGTCTTTTTGAAGGTAGTATGACGAAAAAGAAAAGAACACAACAATTGGGCTTGGACGATGAGAGGTTTTCCCATCTTCGATCTGATCCAAAGTTTTCTGGACTGAGTAATCGGGAAAGGAAGGTTAGTTTCTGATAAAAAGAAGACTTTTTATACTCTTCGCCAATTTTACGTTTTTTTGGGTATTGATTATACCAGTGGTAACCGTGCGTCCGTCT